TTTCAAACCAATTTTAAAAGGCCAATATTATCCCCAAAAAATTTCTCCTTTTTAGGCCCTGAAATTTCCCCTCAAATGGGTTTTTTTTACCCTTTTTAAAAAAAAATTTTAAACTAAAACAAAACAAACCCTTTTCCCAAAATTGGGAAATTTTTGAAGCATCCAAAAAAAAAATTTTAAAATAACCATAATATCTTTTTAAACTATATATTGTTGAAAAACCCAAAGGGAAACCCTTAAATACCTCCCCTTAAATTTTTCTTTTAAAACATCAAAGTTTAAATCCCTGTCCCAAAAACAAATAAAAGAGATGGAATTTAGGCAATAAACTAATAAAAGGGTTTTTTTCTGAAGTTTATTTGAGATAATTCCCCCAAGGGAAATTTTTTTTGTAAACCTTTCTTAGGAAAAAGTTGACAAAATAACTGTAAAGTTTTTTGATTTTCCTGATTTGTTTTTTTTTATTTATTTATGGTTTTTTTTTTCATCTAACCGGGGTGTTTGTAAAATTTTAACAATGCCCTTTCAAATTTAAAGAACTGTAAAAAATAGAAACCCGAAAGGGGGAAAAAAAAGAAAAGGATTTAAAAAGAAACCGGGCCCCCAAAAATGGGTCTTAAAAGGGTATTGGGAAAAAAATAAAAAAATTTTTTTTTGAAAAGGGGGTTTTTAGATTAAAGGGAAAACATTATTTTAGTTATCTTTAGAAAGCAAAATTAAAAAAAAAGAATTTATAGCTGTAAAAAAATGTTGCTTTACAAAACCCCATAACATTTGGGGCGGTATGCACCTTAAAAAATTTTCTTGCGATCCGCCCCCAAGATTTGAAAAAAAAGAAAAGGAAGGGAATGCTTCCCTTGGGATTTAAAAGAAGCTGGGTGGGGATTGGCTTTAAAGGTAGGGTTCAAAAATTTTCTACCTTGCTGGGGAAATTGCGAGCGGAGCGAGGGGAAGCGGCAGAAACCGGGGCGCCAACAGGTGGTGTTGGGGCGCGGGAGAAGAGCCCGGTCCGCGAAGGGGCCGGGGGCAGAGGGGATTTTGAGCCCCCTGCGCCGAGATGAAACCCGGCGCGAGAAAAAGTTTTGAGCCTGCGTGAAGCGAACCCCCACCCCACCCCCCCCCCCCCAAAAAAATCTGGGAAATAGACTGAATGGGGGGTGCAAAACGTTAGTGCAAGATTTGGGGCAGAAAAAAAAAATTTGTTTTTTGCTACTTTTTTTTAAGAATATTAAAGATTAATTTTTTTGGTCAATCCAGAGGTCACCATCCCCCCATTAAACTCCAATTTGGGAAAACCCAAAAAGGTCTCGTTTTTTATGCTTCGTTTGTGCTGATTTGGGGGGCGTTTTAAAAGGTCATCCCGTGCTATTTTACCCTTTTTAAAATATAATCAATTTTTTTTTTAGGGTGATGTTACCGTTTTTCCCCCCCCCCCCCCCCCTCAAGCTCCGATTTGATTTCCAAAATGGTCTCATTTTTTTGGGGCTTCGTTTTGTCTGATTTGTGCAGTTAAAACAAACATTTGGTTTTCTTTAAATTTTTTAAGATATAATTAAATTTTTTTTTTTTGGGTGATGACATCACCCTCCCCCCATCAAGCTCCGATTTGATCCCCAAAGTGGTCTAATTTTTTTGTGCTTCGTTTTGCTGATTTGTGGGAGTAAAACGGTCCTTTGTGCTTTCTTTACTTTTTTTAAAATATAATTATTTTAATTTTTTTTTGGGTGGATTACATCCCACCCCCCATCAAGTCTCCCATTTATCCAAAAGTGGTCTCATTTTTTAGTGGCCCTTTGTTTTTTGCGATTTGTGCATTTAAAACGGGCATTTTTTTTCTGGGTTTAAATTTTTAAAATTAATTATTTTAATTTTTTGGGGTGATGACTTTTCCCTTTTCCCTTTTCCCCCCTCAAGCCCCGTTTGATCCAAAGTGGGGCCCCTTTTTTAGTGCTTCGTTTTGTGCTGAATTTGTGCAGTTTAAAAAAAAAAACCATTGTTCTGCTTTATTTTTTAAGTAAAAATTTATTTTAATTTTTTTGGGGGGATGGGCATCACCTTCCCCCCCCAACAAAAGGGTCCAAATTGATCCAAAGTTTGGGCCCCCATTTTTTAGTGCTTTTGTTTTTTGCTGATTTGTGCAGGTTTAAAAAAAAGACCTTTGGGGGCTGCTTTACTTTTTAAGATATAATCAATTTTTAAATTTTTTTTGGGTGACATCACCATCCCCCCATCAAGCCCCGATTTGGAAAACCAAAAATGGTTCCCAATTTTTTTTGCTTGTTTTGGCTGATTTTTCATTAAAACCGACAATTTTTTGCTGCTTTAACTTTTTAAAGAAATAATCATTTTAAAATTTTTTGGGTGATGACATCACCAAAACCCCCCATCAAGCTCCGGGTTTGACCAAAGTGGTTTTTCATTTTTTAAATGCTTCCCTTTTTTGCTGAAATTTTGCAGTTAAAACCGACATTGTGCTGCTTGCATGTCCCAATTTTAAACTATATTCCTATACCCTTTCGGTGATGATCACAAAAAGACACATTAAAAACAAAATCAAAAACTGCGTTTTTTTTTCAAAGGGCCCCTTTTTTTTTCCTTAAATTTTTTGTCCGGAATTTAGTCTGGGAACAAAATAAATTATATCTCACGCCCAAAACTGGAAAGAAGGGAATCTTTTTTAAAAAGTTTCTACTTTATTTAAATCAGGGGCTTATTTTTGAAATTACCGACCTGGGTTTTTTTCCCCCCCTTATTTAAGGGGAAATTTTTAAAAATTCATCAAATTGGCAAAGATCTCTAAGGGAAAAGTTTTTTTTTATTGTTATTTTTTTTATTATTATTTTTTGTACTTTTTCCACTGGGGGTTAAATTTTTAAAAAATACTATTTTTATACAGGGGGCTTTTTGCCCCCTGCGGGCAAGGGGAAAATAGTTATTCAACAACCCCAGTTGGGGGGTCCGCTGTCAAAAACGCCTTTGGGGGAAGAAGATGTGGCCCCAAAAGCACCGTTTGGTCTAACCACTGTTTTTTTCAAGAAAAAAGTTTAAATTTTATAATATTTGTTTATAAATTTCAAGGGTTTTTTAGGGGGTTATTGTAAAATGTGTTGTTTTTATTTTTTTGTATTCCCCCAATAAAGATTGATTCAAACAAGATTTATTGTGCCAAAAAAAGAACAACATTGAGTATAAAAAAAGTTAAATTAGTACCACTAAAGCTGCGCTACAAAACAAAAACTGCCCGCTACAAAACAACAAAAGTTAAAAAAAACAGAGGGAAAATAAGGAATTTTTAAAACCCCAACACCCCCAAGGCATAATAAACTTACAATGTCATCATTAAAAACACTTAAACATCCACTGACAGCATAGGTGATCAAACTAACTAAAACAGACCCCCCCTTTTCTTTGCAGCTTGACCCTTTTTCACCTTTTTTTCCGCAACTCTCTAATAGGGGGGGGGTGACGTCACCCCGGCCTAAATTTTAATTTTTTATAAACTTAAAAAGTAAAAACAGCACAAAATGTTTGTTTTAACTGCACAAATCAGCACAAACGAAGCACTAAAAAATGAGACCACTTTGGATCAAATCGGAGCTTGATGGGGGGATGGTGATGTCATCAGCCAAAAAAATTAAAATAATTATATCTTAAAAAGTAAAGCAGCACAAATGACCGTTTTAACTGCACAAATCAGCACAAACGAAGCACTAAAAAATGAGACCACTTTGGATCAAATCGGAGCTTGATGGGGGGATGGTGATGTCATCAGCCAAAAAAATTAAAATAATTATATCTTAAAAAGTAAAGCAGCACAAATGACCGTTTTAACTGCACAAATCAGCACAAACGAAGCACTAAAAAATGAGACCACTTTGGATCAAATCGGAGCTTGATGGGGGGATGGTGATGTCATCAGCCAAAAAAATTAAAATAATTATATCTTAAAAAGTAAAGCAGCACAAATGTCGGTTTTAACTGCACAAATCAGCACAAACGAAGCACTAAAAAATGAGACCACTTTGGATCAAATCGGAGCTTGATGGGGGGATGGTGATGTCATCAGCCAAAAAAATTAAAATAATTATATCTTAAAAAGTAAAGCAGCACAAATGACCGTTTTAACTGCACAAATCAGCACAAACGAAGCACTAAAAAATGAGACCACTTTGGATCAAATCGGAGCTTGATGGGGGGATGGTGACGTCATCAGCCAAAAAATTAAAATGATTATATCTTAAAAAGTAAAGCAGCACAAATGTTTGTTTTAACTGCACAAATCAGCACAAACGAAGCACTAAAAAATGAGACCACTTTGGATCAAATCGGAGCTTGATGGGGGGATGGTGACGTCATCAGCCAAAAATTAAAATGATTATATCTTTAAAAGTAAAATAGCACAAATGACCGTTTTAACTGCACAAATCAGCACAAACGAAGCACTAAAAAACGAGACCACTTTGGTTCAAATTGGAGTTTAATGGGGGGATGGTGACCTCTGGATGACCTAAAAAATAATCTTTAATATCTCTTAAACAAAAGTAGCACAAACGATATTTTTTTCTGCACAAATCTGCACTAACGTTGCACTAACCATTCAGTCTATTTGCAGAGTTTTTTGACGTGGGTGGGGTGTCAGCTTCACGCAGCTAACAGTGTGTTGAGAGGGTTTTTCAGAGTTGAGCGCGCGCCAGACCGGTTTTGCGCGCGCGCGTGTTGTCTCACTGCGCGCTCGGATTGGTTCCTGCGCGCTCAAACCGATGGCACAAATATCTCTCCATACCTTCGACAACATGAGTCAGGTTGTTCACATTATATTTTCTTTTCAATACTTGTGTGTTTTTGTTCTTCATGTTGCCACGAGATCTGAAATCCCAGCTTTGTATCTTAATGTTAAGAGCCTGTTTTCTGCATGTAGATAGCAGCGTCTCACACCAACAGCTTGTTGCTTTTTACTATTTAACTTCATTTAACACTTGATGTTTGTTCTTGTGTTGCAGAGCTCACTCAGAGTCCGATCCATTCCAAGCGCTCAAGTATGTGTCCTTTTAACAGATGTCTACTATTAAGGCATTAAAGGTTCAAATGGAACCTAAATTATCTATGATTACAAATTAAGATTCCTAATCTGATTAAATCCACAACAAAATCAACATGATTAACGATCTGATTACTGATTCTAATGTTCTTGATTGGCTTCAAATTCTTGATTACAAAAGATCCATCTTTAAAATGTTTTGCACTGAAAATCAGACAAATGGGCTGCTTTTGATTTGCTGAATTTATCGTGACTGTAACTTGCCATTTTCAAAGTGAGCCTAAATGATCCGAGCAGTTCTGGTCTCTGTCTCGGTCAGAGCAGCTGGGCAGGAAGTGATTAAGGACACCGTCCATTAACTGTTCAGCCTGGGTTTATGCCACTGTTAAATCGAGCTTCACCCACTGTGAAGAAAATTATTTTTGTAGACTTGGTTTCTAAAATATAGCTAGTAATATATTGTCATATGACAAAAAAAATCCTCTTCATTTGCAGATCTAAATGTATTTTATTGTTTTTTTATACCTGCAACCACTAGAAATTATTTGAATGCAATGAAAACATTTTGTCTCGCAAAACTGTTTAAACGCCATGAACTGTTTTAATGTTTTAACCTCAACCATCTGTGGATTTATTGAGACTCTGTGTGACGGAGCACCACAAGGTAGCTTGTTAATGTGTAGAGGAAGGAAAATGATGTATGGTTTTAACCGCTTTTAACCAGAGGAGCATAATATAGCCATTCACAACCATTTATACATCAATAAATTAAATATTACAACTGTATATGATACACATAATGGAAGTAGATTTTTATTTTTTTGAAATTGAAGGGGGAAAAAAAGGAATATATATATATTTTTTTTTTTTTTCAAATAACAACTTTGCCCTTAAATAAAATGTAGGAAATCCAGTATTTATACTTCAACTATTTTCCTTAATTGGTTAGGTATTCCTTTTCTTGCTTCACATTTGGCTTAAAGCTATTTTTTATGTTAAAGAGAAAAAATCGGCATGTTTTCTTCAAAGGTTAACTTATTCGTTTTCAGGTTTCATCTATGAAATCTTACAGTTTCACAATCTTACAGTTTTCTAACAAGTTGTTAGAAAACGAACATAAAGACAAAGAAACACATAGGAAAAGTAGTTGAGAAGTTTGTTGTGTTAAAACACTATATCAAGTTTAGAAAAGCTCACAGAGCATCATGTGATCGTGTGAAGAGTCTGGTACAGCTGCAAACCAAACAAAATAGTACTGTCACCTTCAACTGACAAAGCTAAGCAAGAGGAGAATTGATGAGAGAAAACATGTCAAAGAATTTGCTCCAATCAAATAAAGCAAAGTGAATTTTTGGGCATAAGTCTTACCTAACCTAACTCTGCCCAACACATCTTCCCCAGGGTGACACACGGTGGTAGTAGCATCATGCTAAGTTGTTTTTCATTTGCTAGAATGGAAAAGCTGGTCAGAGATGGTGGGGTCATAGAAAGTGCTAAATATAGGCTGTTCAATGAAGAAAAGGTCTTAGTGGCCTCTATAGACTTAAGACAGAGGAGGAGGTTCACCCTCTAGCAGGACAGTGATTCATTATTAACTGGAGTGGAGAGACTATAAAACAGGCCTTTAGCTGACAGAGCAACACACTTAGAGCAGTTATTGTACCCAAATGTAAAAAAAATATATATATATAAACAAGGATTTTGTTGCTCTTATTCCTATTGAAATTTTTTTTACATGTATTAAGCATGAACTTACGTTGACAACAAATGCAAATGTTGCAGCTGGAGCAACAGATTTCCATGTTATCTCTATGTAGAGGGCGGATCTGGACCAAGGCAAAGAAAAGCTAGGCAAAGTTAGCAGTTTAGGGAGGTAAACAGCATGATTTTAGTGAATATGGCGAAATGTAATTGCTGGCTCACAGTAATTTCCCGCTGCTACTTTCTGAGCTCCAGAATGCCATCCAACCATCTCTCTGTTGTGTGGGGGATTCGTTCCCCGATGCGGAACAGCAGGGCCCTGAACTGGGTCAAGGTAGACAGAAGTATGGCTGAAAGCTACCATCATCCAGACTAGGGGGGGGGGGGGGGGGGGGGGGGGGGGGGGGGGGGGTCCGAACGCAGACAGCTTTGTTCAGCTTTTAAAAGTTAGAAATACTGCCAGTCGCTTTGTAAATCCATGTCCACCACAATGAGGCGGAACCAACGACCAGCAGACCTCATGATGTTGGAGTCTTTCATCCGCCGAGCAAAATGTTTTCACTGGGAAGGCGATTTTCAAGGCGAACAAAAGCAGACAAAACTGGGAAAGTTTATGCAGGTTTCGCGCTCTGTGTGAACGCACCTTAAGAGTATCAACTAGCAAGCTTTTAACTTTATATTATATTTCCAAGGAGTTACAAAATATTAATTAAACCGATGTCGAACAGAACAAAATAAATAAAATCTCTCACATTTGTGTGTAGTGAGAGGGCGGAGCTTAAGGTTTGTCAGTGTTAAACAGATCTCACTATCCACATGTAGATGTGCTCTATGTTTTGAAGGCCTTTTAAGTTAAAAAGCCAGACTCAAACAAATATATTAGTGCAAAAAGGAAAATGCATTTCAGTACCCTGTCAGCCGAGGTGGAATAATCTACTAGATTTATAGAGTAAGAGCCTCCAAATTCAGTTTTCAATCCGAGTGGTTTCTCTTGTTAAAACAATCAAAGTTATAGTTTTTATTCTGCATATTTCCTTTCTTATTTTTTCTCCCAATTATTATGAGAAGTCCCCTTTGAAACCCACTGCCTTAAAAGACTCAACAGAATATCGACAAATGTTCTATTTTATCATCAGACCGACCACTTTTAGAAGACGTTCATTCAACCAACGCTATTCACAGCATTTCCTGTCAGAATTAGGATTAGTAGGCGACTTGAAGTTAAGCACTGGCCAAGGGCGAACCAAAATCTGGCAGAAGGGAAGCGGGTATTGAACACATTTCTAAATGAAAGACATCTACTGAGCTGCAGCCGTCCCCAGACCTACAGATTTTATTGCTTTTATAAATGATGAGCTATGGCTGCAGGATGCAGAGGTATGCCAGATATTTCAAAGGAGGGTTGTAAAATCTGTAAAACCATGAATGTGTTCTTTCTTTCACACTTAATCATCATGCAGTTGGAGCAGTGAATTCAAATCTGAATAAATTTAGTGGTTGTTCAAATGAGACTAAATCTGAAAAAGTTCTGCTGTTCTGAAATGGATGAAAGCATATTTCTGTGCGGTTCCTTGTTGTTTGCCACCCAGATCCGAAGCAAATCATCAGTAATGAGCAGAGAGCTGCACCAATGATTTTAGGAGCCGTGCAAAAGCCAAGCATGGCCTGCATCATGTGATATAAATTACCCAGAACAGGGTCTGACCATTGATGTTTGAATTATGCTTAAATGTTTGCATCATTTCCCAAACGCAGAGATAGATTCAGGACAAATTCAATGAGCCGGAGTTCTGAGGGAGACGTAATGCATGGAGATCAATTGGAGGTGTGAGTCAGTCAAACCGAGAGGCAGGTCACGGGTAATCTAATCACGTCTCAGTACACAACAAAAAATAACAACTTAATAAAGCACCAGTGGCTACAACAGAGCAGAACATCTTGTTAGGTTGGAAACAAGTGGGAACAAAACTAACAAATAGGAGAGCTCACATGAGCTGGTGCTGATGAAATATAGATGAGTTAGGTGTTTGCTGATGTATTCTAGCTTGTGTTCGGGGCTGTTGTTAGCAGACTGAAGATTTGGAATGAACAACCTAAACACACAGACGCAGAAAGCTCATGTCAACATCATGTACTCTCAGCGGCGGGGACGATCTGCCGAGACAGATCTAAGGTCATAAACTACTGTAGAAATGCAAAAGTTGCAGTTTTCTCTGCATGGTCTCTGATTTTTATAAGGCGCTGATTATTATAGTCTCTGGGGAGGCAAACAGTCTTTTTTTAATCATATATTAGAGCTGAAGACAGCTGCTGGATGACAGGGGGCACTGCAGGTGAAAAGACGTCCATAGGGGTTCAATAACTGCTGTTTAGCCTCTAAGCTGCAATGGGAGGTACTCACTGGGCAGAATTGATGAGTAGGTGAGAAGCAGGAGTGTTTTCTGCACAGGCCTGCAGAACCGATGGTAAGCAAGAAAGAAGAGGTTATTTTGATTTATGCGGGCTTAACAGGACATATATTGTAAGGACATTTTTATTAGCAGACATATCGGTTCAACACATACCCAAAAAATGCTGTTCTGTTTAACTTTTTGCACATGCTGAAGTACAGGCCTCTACATTCCTCGCTTAACTGTAAGAAGTAGGACTAAAAGAAATCCAAGCGTAGGAATGATGGACAAACAGCTTTATTCCACTTTCTTGTTTTAAAGAGATAAGGGCAAAGCTTCATCCAACTGGATATAAACGGCACTGGTTCAGAGAAATGCCACAAACAGTAGAAATTTATCTGCCTAAAAATCACTATAGCCCCATTTACACTAGCCTTTTGAAATCATGCCAAGATTGGTCCAAGTACAGTAACCTGAGATAACTGTTGAGTGTAAATAGAACACAACTGAACTGGACTGTGCCTGACACAACCAAACCATGCTAAATCTAGCACTAGTTCAGCAGCAGGGCTCGGCACGGTTCAGTTCTGGCTCAGTTCTCAAATAACAAAGAGTGCATAAACAGACCATCATCATCATCCCCTTACAGTCAGCCTCCGTAATCATCAAATTTCAGACATTCATAAAAATACTAGCTTTCCTACCGTGCCACATGATTTCCAGTGATGATTCTGCTTAGCAGTGTGATGGGCCTCAAGGTTCGTCGTTGTTTCCTGCGTCTGTAAGCCCTGATTAGACTATCGTTTGTCGTAGCCACTTCCTCTAAATTCACCAAATGCTGCCTTCTTCGGCTGACTCTCTGCAAACAACGAAATATCACAATAACAACACGTAACTTTCTGAATGT